CTTTCTCAGATCCTCAGCTACACATTGCATAATATTACTAGGCAACTCTTCCGCCCAATACACATCATCATCATTTGTTAAGGCTCTTTTTGCTAATTCATGGGCCACACTATTCCCCTCCCTCTGAACATGCCGCACAGAACAGTCATCTAGGCTACTTAGTAAGATTCGCCAATCATCAAAATACATTTCTGACCCTGATATCCCACCTCGGTCTGTAGCTGAAATTGCACTCACCACACATGTTGCATCACTCTCCACTTCAACCCCTCGGAGACCCAACTCTGCCACCCAGCTAAGAGCTTTCCTAACGCTGTAAGCCTCCACAACCACCGTTGGGAAATACCCATTCCTTTTAGAAGCCATAGCTGCTACAACCTGTCCTTGCTCACTCCGTACAACCACTCCCATCCTATACACCCCTCTCTGCTCATTCGAAGCCCCATCAACATTCATTTTGTGCCGTCCAGCCGCCAGAGGTATCCACCTATCCATCCTCCTCAGGCTACCATGTTGAGACACATTGTTGAGATACATTCTTGCTTGGGTTTATAACTACTTTGAGCTCTCGTGAGAACTGCACCCCATGAGACACAATCTGACTTGGCAGCTGGTATTTCCCATTCCGAAGAGCATCATTTCTATTAGCCCATAATAACCAACATAAAACACAAGCTAGCTCCAATTGTTCTCTTTCCATAAAAGATGCCATAATTTCAAAAAACTCAGCGAAATCTTGCGCCCGAATCTCGGAGACTCGTAAAGACAATGAAGAACCTAACCATACAGCCCTTGCTACCTCACACTCCTTGACTACATGTAAGGTTGTCTCATCTTCCAAGTTACATACTGGACAGAAGTTGTCCACAGGGATCTGTTTCTTGCATAAGTTATCCTTCAACAGTAGGATCCCCTTATAAGCACTCCAAATCATCAACTTAATTTTCTCTGGCAACTTTAGATCCCATATCTTCCTTCCACGAAAACCAGTCACAGAAGAAGGTGGACCACATAAGTTATCCCCTCGGTTTTGTTGGGAATGCATCTCTAATGCCAAACACCCCTTGAGTTCTACGAGCACATGACTCAAGTCTGGCCTTCGGTCTGCAGATTTCGATGCACATGACATTACTAACTTTGCGACTGTTGAAGCAGTGTTGGTATTGAATTTTCCTTGCAACCTTGGATCAACAAGTCTTTTGATATCCCATGTCTCCATTATAGACTCCACCTGATCAACTAAATTCGGAGAAGAGCTGTACCCGAGAGCAGGCAATCCGGTTAACAACTCTAGTAAAATTATGCCGAAGCTGTACAGGTCAGTTTTCTTGTTTACTTTTCCCGTCTGAACATACCTATATGAAAAACATAGAAGATGAACTATTTGCTAAAGTTCTGATAGCTGTTGGTGTAAATTAATTACTTACACAGGATCCAAGTATCCGAATGTCCCACAAAGATGGGTATATTCTTCAAATTCTTCATGCAAAAATTTAGCGAATTCGAAAACAGCTATCTTGCCTTGCATCTTTTCATTTAACAAGATAGTACTGGATTTCAAATTTCGATGGACTACAAGTGTCTTGCTGCCCGTCTGCAGATACTCCAATCCTGCAATTCTAGCATAGCATTAGTTGATGGCTCATGGGGAAAGTAAAGCAAAAGAAATTAAAGGAAGTTTTCACTGAATAAATTACGACCATGTGCGATATCAATAGCAATTTGAAGCCTCTCATTCC